TCAAAAAAAAAATAATGCATTCTATTTTTGTTACAGTTGAAACATATGGCAGTTACTTTCAATTTTTACTAAGTACGAGCTCTTAATTTGCAGGTGCAGTATGTTTTTCGAGAGTTGTCAGTATCGATGCAAATATTTGAGGTAGTTCCTTGATCTCTTATATGCTAGTGTTTATAGCATGACAATTAACCTCTGTAATCAAAGAAGATTTTGATAACAAAAACAAACGCCGACTGCTTTGCTTTGAAGCTCACATGGGCGCTTAAATATATCTCCACTACCTAGTTCGTGAATGCTACAAGTCTAGCCATGTGAAATCACGAAAGCATCTGGGCAGACAGTTACAAATTTTGCGCACCTTAGACAGTTCCAAAGTGGAATTTAGGAGTACACATCCATTTGTTTTCTAAAAACTTATTCTAGTGCTGATTAAACACCGCTTTTATGCGTAAAAACATGTTTTCTTATAAATACATCAATGAACCTGATTCTTTTTAGTAGCAATAAGACAGTAGAGTGTAGCAGATTTCTGTTGAATTATTTAAAGGTCTATTCCACCTGCTGCAATAATTTAGTCACTGCGTCAGTGACAGAAAACTCTGCAAGAGTCACTAATGTCCCCAACTACCCAACGATTTGTGGGCTAACATTGAGACCATTTTAAAGCTCGTGCTCCTGGCTACAGTGGCCCTGTGAATGGCACAGTGGCTTCCGCATGATGGCACCAGTATTAAAGTTAAAACTAATTTCTAGTTACTGGTGGCAGGGCATGCCACCACTTCCATTGGTGCATCTAAGTGGATTAGAAATTGGCTTATAGTTAGGGCAAATAATATGAAAGAAGAATATCTCTTTTGATTGAATGTGAAAGATCGAAGTAAAAATGGTACTGGTTCAAATCAGACGTTTAAGTATTTATATCTGCATTTAATAATCTGGAGTCTCTAAAAAAACTAGCTAACCAGTAAAAAAAGGTGTTAGTACCCACTGCACGAGGTAGCTACCTTTATGTCGGAACGAGGTATCAATCACCAGTGAATTCAAATAAGCCGTCACAAGTTTACCGCTATCGTTACCATTTTCACGTGCATTTTTTTCTTAGGACTAGCCATTTCTACATTTACTTTATAGGTCTTGTTTCGCAGACAAGTAAGAATTTCGGAATATTGAGAGGTGAACACAAATGCTGCTGCACGATTTTATAGGTTGGAACAACTTGCCCGAATCGGTTAGATTGCTTATCATTTGGTAGCATCTTATAGTTCAATTAAGCTTTTATGAGAATTTGCATAAGAGCTATAGAAGTATGTACTATGCCAACATATTATTGACTTTGCTATCTACTGTCATGTGGGATTTGATTTAGGAAACGTGTGTCTCAATCACAGCATCCCACTTAAAATTTCATAAAGATACAGATTGAACTCTGGTGTAGTTCCCAATAAACCAATGAGGTTGCTTCTCTAGAAATGCCCTCACCTTCTGCACTGTGGCCGTTTTTATGAGGGCAATGCTTCGAGGCAACTTGCACTCATTTTAGGATTAGATTACCCTTCGCACTGGCTTGCTCCTCATCCTTTTAAACCCATTACTACTTTACCAACAGATGAAGGCAAAGTCTTCATTGTTCTCCTCCCCTCAGATCCCAGATATTATGCCTTTTTACACATAAACCGGCCAGTAAAATAAATTTTATAAAAATTGCTAAATTTAAGTTGATATCGAGGAGAAAGCGAAGGCATTAGCAAAGTAAACGACAAATTTACTCAACTGTCCTTGAGCCGTTTACAACGGTTATTGAGGTTTAGATGGCAACGTCAACATGAATCGGCATCCAGGTAAAGCAAAATCTGGTGCTTGGTAAAAATTGATAAGTTTTATATCAAATACTTTTTAAATTTTCGCTTCC